TGTACCTTATTTTATGTATAATTATTTGTTCGGAATTTATTTTAATAATATTAATATTATGTTATAAGTTAGATATTATGTAATTCGGCATACACGTGCAATGCACGTGCAGAGAAATTAAAGAAGACCCTTTGAAGCTACTCTAAGCACTATACATATATATATATATATATATATATATATATATATATATATATATATATATATATTATAAAAGCAGGAACCTCAAAAATGTCACATGTTACTTGGCAGTACAAGAATGGAAACAGAAACACCAATCATACTCCAAATTTGGAATTAATGATCCACGACTACGGATTTCTCTTTCACTTTCTCGCAGTTTATTGTAGGACTTCTTGCAGATTTTTCAAAAAAATATCGAGTGAGCAGCAAGTCTTGTGTAACCATTTGCTGAGGTAGACATAAAATGTAACGACCGGGTCGGTCGTTTTAAGAACTAACGCCCCAATCCCCTATTAACTGCATTCTCCGTGTTTGTTTCTGCTATTGTGAGCTGCCGGGAAGATTTATTTGGAAATTCGGAGAGTTTTAGGACACTTAGTCCCTAAATGAGAGTTTAAATTTTAAAATTTGGACCGTAGTTGGAGCAGTGTGAAGACGGCCTCGGAATGGAATTCCGTTGGTTCCTTTAGCTCCGTTGGGTGATTTTGGATTAGGAGCATGTTCAGATTGTGTTTTGGAAATCCGTAGCTCATTTAGGCTTGAAATGCCGAAAGTTGAATTTTTGAAGTTTCCGGTTCGATAGTGAGATTTTGATATCGGGGTCAGAATGGAATTTCGGAAGTTGGAGTAGCTCCGTAGTGTTGAATGTGACGTGTGTGCAAAATTTCAGGTCATTCGGACGAGGTTCGATAGACTTTTTGATCGAAAGCGTAATTCGGAAGTTTTTAGAATTCTTAGGCTTGAATTCGATGATGATTCGATGTTTCGATGTTGTTTTAGGTGTTTTAAGGATTGGTATAAGTTTGGATAGTCGCATATGACTTGTTCGTGCTTTTGGTTGAGGTCCCGGGGGCCTCGGGATGATTTCGGATGGTTGACGGAGAGTTAAGCATTTGGAGTTGGCAGTTGAAGCTGTGTTTCCTGTCATAACCGCACCTGCGTGTGTGGGGCCGCAGGTGCAGCGCCGCAGAAGCGGCTGAGAGACCGCAGATGCGGCTATGTGAGGGAAGGCCAGTTTTCGCAGGTGCGGTAGTTTGAGCGCACTTGCGCTCGGTAGAGGAAGCGCAGGTGCGGCCCAAGGGAATTAATGAAATCTCGCAGATGCGCACCTGGGACCGCAGGTGCGGGTCCGCATGTGCGGGGAAATGTCTGCAGGTGCGGAAGTCCTGGGCCAGAACATATATAAAGGTTCAGTCGTGATTTTTGCCCATTCTTTCACCATTTTCACCCGGATTTTTGAGCTTTTGGGAGGTTTTTGAGAGAGGATTCAAGGGAGCTTCAAGGAGGTAAGTTTTTGGAACCTAAACTCGTTATTATGGTGATTTTTATCAATTTTAGCATGAAATTTGAAGGAAAATCAGTGGTAAATTGGGGGTTAGGGCTCGGTTACTTGCAGAGCTTTGAATGGTGATTTGAGGGACCATTTGAGGTCTGATTTTGGTAATTTTGATATGGTTAGACTCGTGAGAGTTTGAGGATTTTGAAAATGTAAGACGTAGGCCCGGAGGGCATTTTGGTCATTTTACCTAATTTCGCGTATTAGCTTAGAATTTATTTGTAGAATCAGTTACTTGAAGTGTTATTTACATTATGCAATTGAATTGAATAGATTTGGGCCATTCGGAGTCGAACACTCGTGGCAAGAACGTGGTTTTGGGTTGATTTTGGAGCCAGTTCGAGGTAAGTGGCTTGTCTAACCTTGTGTGGGGGAAACTCCCCTTAGGATTTGATTTGTTGATAATTGAAATGCCGTGTACGTGAGGTGACAAGTGCGTACTTGTGCAAATTGTTGAAAAATCCCCTTTCTTTAAGTAACTATAAATGTGATTTTCCTGTCCCCTGTTCATACCATGTGTAATTTAAGCATGCTATTAGCTTATGGAAGCATGTTTAGTTGACTTAATTGCCTTACTTGCTCAAATTACCTTATTTTGAATTATGTGCAGCATGCTAGGCTAGAAATACTTGTTTTATTTTGGTATGGAAATTCGAAACGAATTGAGTATTCTTTTGTGTTGCTGTTGCGTGTTTACTTGGGACTACGGGACGGTATCCCGGGAGATCCCCCATGTATGTTTACTGTGGGACTACGGAATTGTATTCCGGGAGATCCTAATGCACTTTTATATTGGAACTACGTGACTGCACCCGGTAGATTCCCCCAATATTGAGTATTTATATTTGGGGCTACAGATGTGGTATTTCGGTAGATCCCCGCGCATTATGAGTTGGATTACGGGACTGCCCCGGGAGATCCACTAGATATTTATATTTGGGGACTACATGACGGTATCCTGGGAGATCCCCCGGTTGTTATCTCTGCGTTGGGCTGTATTTATTTCCGTGATTACTTTGTTTCTGTTAAAGTTGCTGCTGTTCTTCTATCCTGTGTTACTTTTTACTGTTGTACTTAAGTATAATGTCTTATTCTACACTGTATATCTTGTATTTCCTTTAACCTCAGTAGGGCCCTGACCTTCCTCGTTACTACCCGACCGAGGTTAGGCTTGACACTTACTGAGTACCGCCGTGGTGCACTCACACCCTTCCTGCACATATTTTTCATGTGCAGATCCAAGTACTCCCACTCAGACTTATCACGCTTGAGGCGAGGCGTTTTGTAGAGGCTCCGAGGTATATCTGCCGCGTCCGCAGACCGAAGAGTCCCTTTCTATTCTCATTACTAGCATAGCCCTTTCTGTATCTTCTCTTGTTGGTAGACATTATGGAGTTAGAGCTTATTATGTAATCGTTTAGCTTGTGATTCATGGGGTTCCAGATTTTGGGAGTGTTAGATTGAGATTCTTGTACTATTATATGCCAGGCGGCATCTTAAACGCTGTGTAACCTTTTAATTACTTTCTTCTGCAATTGTTTCTTTTTTCACATTTGTTAGGCTTATCTAGTCGCAGAGACTAGATGCCGTCACGACAGTTCACGGAGGGCGAACTGGGATCGTGACATAAAACTTCCCCTGTAGTCGGCACAACATAATGCGTTTTGGCATCAAAAAGTTTAGCAGAAAGATATCGACTTCAGGGTCTTGATTGAAGAAGAAAGTGGCAAAATTTGGTTCCATCTTTTTTTTACTTTACTCATTATTTAATTATTTGTTCTTTGTGATTTTTAAAATCTTATTTCTACAAAATTTTAAGATAGATGTTACACATGAAAATGACACTTGAAATATTTAAAGTGTGTATGTGCTTGGCTTAGGATTGAAAATTCACAGTAAACTTAATGTCTAATATTATTTCGGAAAACTAGAAATGCAGGCAAGGTTAATGAAAATTACAAACAAATTCTTTATTTTGCTAATGTGTTAATGGCACTAAAGTTTTCTCAATCAAAATGGACTTGCAGTGATATGTGTTTCAGGGAAGTTTTCTCTGACGAAAACAACAACTATGAATAGGAAAAAGGAAAATGGAAACAAAGCTGGCCAATGTGGAGCATTTTCCTGTATCCCAAGAGCTTGAGAAGACCAGAAAAGTAACTTTAATAAATTTCTTGAAAAGAAAAAACTAATTTTCCATTCAGTTGGCAAACATTTTGGTAATGAGAGACATTATGTGGGATTTCTTGTGAGAAAGGAAAAGAAAGGAAGGATGTTTGGTGAATATCTTCAAAAGTATTCAAGTATTAGTAATACTTAAGGTGTGACAACACAAGAGACATATGACAACCATTCTCACGTGAGTTTAAGTATGATTCTTCAATTTCTGTATTTTTTTCATGATTCATCTGATAATTATGTTACTTCTTTGTATCTTTTAGCATTCCATTTATTTTTAGGTCATTTTAAACTATTATTGTAATAACATTTTGTTGTATTCATGTAGCATGTACGGTAGTTCCTATGCTAATTATATATTAACCAGAGTCTCTGTTCAAAGTCTTAAATTCCTGAATAAAGTCCACGCTAATTATCATCCGATTCTTTTTAAAAGAATACCTCTAGCGAGTAGTCTGTTTATTATTGGACAACTACCTAGAAATACGAGTATTGGCCTATTTGTTATGGAGCCAATTTCATATATTTACCATAAATTAGAAGGAATGACTATACTCTATTGATCCATGCACCGTTAAAAGATGTCTGCGTTCAACATTTTGAGAAGTTAAATATTTTGTATGCGTGGGATGATACTTAATATTTTTGATTTATCAGATATTAATTAATGATTTATTTTTCACAGCATTAGAATTTTCACCATTTTCAAGTGTCCAATCTTGCTAATTTCGGTAAGTTTCGTGCGGAGAAAAATATTCGATGAAGATTTTTGCAAGAAATATTTTACTTAAAGTTTTATTTTAATAATATTACTACTCCCTCTGTTCCAGTTTATGTGAACCTATTTCCTTTTTAGTCCGTTCCAAAAAGAATGAACCCTTTCTAAATTTGGTAACAATTTAGCTTAAACTTACAATTCTACCATTAATGAGAATCTTTTATAACCACACAAATACTCTGGGCCCCTTTTTGACTTATTTAGGACCACAAATTCGAAAAATCTTCATTTTTTCTTAAACTCCGTGCCCAGTCAAACAGATTTATATAAATTGAAACGGAGGGAGTATTATTTTATATAACTGTATATTGCATGACTTGACAGACACGTGCAACGCACATGGAGAGGAACTAGTTTGAAAATTTTATATCCAAACATCGAGTCCCCATAAAGTGAAACTTTGAATTTTTTTAATGGCCAAACTGTCCCTTAAATATCTGCAAATATCGTGAATTAAATGGACTAGGTTTTGAAAATTAGTATAGGAGAGTTAATATGTAAAGTACCAGTAAATGCCAAAACGAAATGTCGAACAATGATTTAATTACCGACACGCCCGCCAATGTCAAGTCACCGATATTTTTTTTCTCTTTCCGTGTTTCAATCCACGAAATAAAACCCTAATTTCCCATTTTCCCTCCCTCTCCAATTTTTTTCCCTCGTCTTTTTCTCTCGGAAGGTTTGAATAAATGGCGGCGGCTGGCAGCGGCGGAACGGCAACTTCCTCAGCCTACGGAGGCGCCGGCGGCGGAGCAGGAGGAAAGTTCCGGAAACGACCTTTCCTTAAGAACCAAAATACTCCGTACGATCGCCCTCCGACGGCTCTCCGGAACCCTAGTTGGCTCACGAAACTCGTCGTTGATCCCGCCACTAAGCTCATCACTTCCGGTGCTCAACGGTTCTTTTCGTCGCTCTTTCGGAAACGTCTTCTCCCTCCCCCAACGCCGTTACCACTTCCTCCTCCAGGTTCTCCTTTTGCACATTTTTCTCTATTGGACTATATATTTGTATTTGAAATTGCTTGGTTTTTGCTCAGAATTTGCTTGGTTTTCTGTTGCGTTTGCATTTTTGTTGTCAAAAGTTGTAATTTCCTTTTTGTTACGTCTAGTGGAGCTCGATAATTATAAAAAAGAGTCTTATAATTAAGAGTTAGTTATTTACACAGGCCAATTAAAAGTAATTGCAGGTAACTTTAGTTTTTTTGGTAGCTAACTATTTTATATTACCACTTGAAAACATGTACAGCTCTGTCAAAAACGAAAGGTATGCAGTTTAGACATTAGTCCTAAACTTGAAAATTGCTGGTAACTTTAGTTAATAACATTGATTGTTAATCTAAAATAAATACTCCCTCCATGGACATGGGACTTTTGAACGACATACCATTTGTGTGGCTGTGAAAGCTTCTATGTAAGGTAATATTGGAATTGCAAAATTAAGAGTTTCCTTATTAGGTAAGGGTTCATTTCTTTTTGAAATAGACTAAAAAGGAAATAGGTTCATATAAAAAAAGTCGGAGTAGTAAGTTACTTGCTACGACATGTTAAATTACGTTGACGGAGTAAATTTTTTTTATTACATTGTCAATGTATATAACTTAAATCCTACAACGAATTATAACTAGTTTGGGATGGAGCTGTAAAGGTACTGGTTATCATTTCTTCTTTTTGAATGCGTAAATAACAGAATTCTATTACTATGATGTATGCTGTAGTTTTAAATTTGGCTCATTAAAACTTTGAAATGAGGCAGTTAGTAGTAATAGTTGTTGTAACTATGTCCAAAAAGGAGAATGCTTTTAATGATTTTTGTTATGTTTCAAGCTGGTTCATGTTATCAGTTGGTAATGTCTAGTTGGAAATTTACCTTCTTTCTTTGGTAAATTCAGAAAATTTATTAGAAAAAGTTTGCTTTGTTCCCGTATACACTTTTCTGTATTGTCTATTTGTATGTGAATTGAGGTTTTCCCTCTCAGATGTTCTTCGTTCCAGAAATTGATTAGGTATAAATTAGATAAAATGGGCTAAAAAGAAAAAGAAAAAGAAAAAGAAAAAGAAAAAAAAGGAATACTTTTGCTGATTTGAAGTAAGTATGATTGAGTCACAGTGATTTTTACTTCGTTCAAGCATTGAATCTCCTGTCTCATCTCAATTAAGAGGTAAGCAATTCACGTAATCTTTGACCTCTTGCCAATTGATTGTAGTAGCTTAATCGAGATCAGAAGCAAATTGTTCAAAGGCTTCTAATTCTGCAAATCATGCTAATTCTACTTTTAATACCAGCTTTGATATGAAGGTACGAGGGAGATAAAAAGGGAGTATGTTAGTCAAATAGAGGGCTCTCATGGGGGTGTAGTTCACGGCTTTAGCCTTAGGCTAGGGACCTGTAGTTCTTGTATGGGCAAACCCTATTTCTTTTAGAATAGAAGTGATCTATCATCAAGGAGCTAAGTTAGAGGCTTAATGAACTGCTCTTCTTGATTATCTTGAAAGGATCAGATTACTCCGCTCGTAGGGAAACATATCTGGCACCTTTTTCCTACTAAGTGCATGATGGCCACTCCAGACATAGTGGTTAGACAACTTCTGAGCTTTTGAAGCAAAACTATATTATTGTTTCTAGCTGATGTAGTCTGGTCTTTTTCACTGATCTAATCAAGCTGAACATGCCCAGCCTACTGGTTCATTTGCCTGCACTAATTAAAATCATTGATCTCCCATTTTATACATAACTTGGGAGCTATTTCCTTATCATAAACAAGTTGGGAGCTAGTTAGTTATGCCTAACGAGTGGTAGCCTTTTTTTTTTTTTTTTTTTTTTTCTTTTTAAAGTGATGTAATAGTTGACTGAAAGGGTTGGAGTAGGCTTCAGCCTCAAGTTACCCGAGTTTATGGTTGGAGCTCGACGAATATTGACCATTAGGCAAACGCTTGAGGTTTATATCTTATGCTGGCTATTGAAGAAAAGCTGCATCATCTGTTATGTGTCTCTTTGAAATGGATAACATGTTTGACTTCCAGCATAATTAAATTCATCTTGTGCAACCAGTGTTAATTATTAACCACTCCTTATTGGAATGATCAATTGAGACAAATTACTGACATTGCAAGTGGCATGTATGGTTAAGTTTATTTGCTCTGAAATTCTTTTGGGAAGGAATTTGCTCTGAAATTCTAATTCCTGGACTATCACCTATCAAAAAACATTCCTGCGCTATTCATATTTCCTTCACATCACGAGAAACCAGTAATGTGGCTTTTGCATCTATTGTCTCTCTGTTATGTGGGTTGCTCTAAATTGTTCTCTGACATTTCTTAGACGAATGTCTTCCTATGAGCTTTGTTTGCCTCTTTTTCTGTTTTCATTAAGTTTTACCATACTTTAGTTAAGACCTGATTTGCTTTTTGGTACAAACAGAAGCAAGACAAGAACCAGAGGATCTGCAGCAGGAGTCTTGTCCTAATGTAAGTTTATTATGCAAATCTTGTCCTCAAAGCTTCTGAAACCTGGTGCTTATATATTTTATTTTTCACGTGTTTGGATCACAAGAATTGTCCATCTTCCTAGACACAGCAATTTTGTTTTTCTTCTTGCTCATATACTTGTATTGGCGGTCCAATGTTTCACAAGACTTCAATCATTTGTTTATTGAGAATAATAACTTGATAAAAATATATAGTATAGTATCCTGATAAAGTTCCCCTTTCGTCCTTTCCTCTTCTGGAACAATTCTTCTTTTTGGTGAAGGATCATGCTGGAGCAGTAGTAGTCACCGGACATGAAATTTGCAACTCTGTGTGCAGCTCTGAGGGCAGTGCATTCTCAGAGCTTGAGCAACTGTTAAAACAGAAGACGTTCACCAGGTAAGCTTTGGGATAACCTAGCAGTTGTTAGAATTGTATCTGTTTTATCTCTTGTTTCAGGTTTCGGTATTTCTGCATGTCTATCAAATGTAAATTGACTGTGCTGCTGCATACTCTATTGGTGGTTAAATCTGCCATATTTTCTAATGTGCGTTTTCGTAATAACATACAATAGCAAACTGGAAGTCATAGAATTTTGATCTTGCTGTTGCCCCCGTACTTTGGTTCAATGTAAAGGTAGTAAAAAGCGAGATGTGTGGTAGGGGCATGTCACCATTTCGAATCCTTCTTGATTGATTCTGGTATTTAAGTGGAGAAGGGTAGATTTGGGAGCCAATTATTTGCTCAAGTTTCGAAGCTGTAAACAACCGATTTCTCAATTATTAAAAATACTTTAGATCTTGTGATGTTTTTTCCTAGTAATTGCTCTTTTGTTTCATTTTGATTAAACAACTTCTTTTGAACTTTAATGTAGTTATCTATCTGAATTTTATATTCATGATGTTGGCCTCAAATGAGGTCATCTATATCTTGGATGGAGGGTTAGGTAAACATACACTCTGGTTTCATTCTCTCCTTTTTGTCTTAGCAACTACTGTATTCATATTTGTTTTCAAGGTGGCATGTGAGATTTACTAATATGAAATTTGGTGTGTGCAGAGCTGAAATTGACCGTTTGACAGAACTTTTGCATTCCAAAACTGTAGATACCTCTGTTGGGAATGATAAGAGAGCTGAATCCATTCAATATAGGCCTTTAGCCAATAATTCTAGCTCTTTACTTGAAAAAAATAGGGACGAGAAGGTTACATCTGATGCAGCTGTTGGTACTCCTGCCACAAGTTCAAGAGTAAGATGAATGCCTTGCCTGGGTACTCCACATGTTAGCTTTGTGACAATTTGTAAAATTGGGTCAGTCTGACATCTGTGTTCTTGATGGTTCCAGGTCCCTAAAGGTGATGTTGCATCTCCTGCTGAACTGGCAAAAGTTTACATGGATACTATGCCTTCAAAGATGTCATCATCAATTCTGAGTTCGCAAAGTCAAGTTGTGAGAGTAGATACACCACTGCTAAAGAATATAGCATATTCCCAAAATTTACCTATTACATCAGTGAGAACAAAGACTGCTGGTCTTGTTGGGGTTCGAGCAAATGGATTTACCACTCCAAGATCTCGTGGAAGATCTGCAATATACAACATGGCGCGCGCTCCATACTCCAGAATTCGTCAAACTGATGGTCAAATGGTGCATTTGCTTCTCTGCCTACTTTATGTTGGAAATTATTAAATTTGTTTGAATTGTTGGTTTAACTTTGGTCCTCTATCAGGCTAGTAGCTCCACATACAATGCATATAGCAGGCCTTCTTTATCTGAGTCAGTCTTGGAGCATGATGGATATTTTGGCTCTAAACAGGTATTATTTGCAATCACTGTGGTCTTGAACTGATTTGCATTCTTTATTTTTATGTATTACCATCTGTGAGTGAATTTCACCTTTTCCTCTTTCAGCCACTCAAACGGAGTAGTTCTGTTCTAGAAGATGATCTGGGATCTGTTGGCCCCATGCGGAGGACTCGACAGAAACCCAATCTCCTATCAAATGGAGTTTCTCGTCCTAGTCCAGGAGCAGGGGTTGCTTCTTCTTCTGTCGTTTATCAGGAGGTCTCGAAAGTTGTTGGAGATAACAATGTGCCGACAAGGTATGCCCACATTCCTTCCAAGTCCAGTGAGACAGCTGCGAAGATATTGGATCATCTTGAATATCTGACCCCAAAGGAGAAGTCATCAGAATCAAAACAAGTTGCAGGGAAAGATAAAACACCCAAGAAATTGACACGGAACATGCTTCATGGACAAGCTCTTAAAAGCTTGGAGTCTTTGGATTCGCCAAAGCTGCTTCATAGTGCACAAGACAACAGCCATAAGCTGGAAAATTTGTCTAAGGCTTTTCCAAATGATGCCCATGATTCTAGTTTGCAGAAGCAAGGCAAAATAGAACAAAATGGGCAAAGGAGATCTATTAGCGAGTCCACCGTTTTACGAAAGAATGATGCAAAATGTTCACTTGAAGATGCTCAACATGCTCAACTAGTTTTGGAAAATGCTGATTCCCTGGACAAAACTTCTGCAGCTCAGCCTCAAAAAAAGCAAGCTTTTAGGATGAGCGCACATGAGGTTCATTCCCTTTTTTCAACTCACTTGGAATCTTTGACTGTCTTTACTAGCTTTGAATTTGAGTATACCGTGTTACAACATATATTGACCTTAGGGGTGTTCATGGTTCGGTTTGGATCGGTTTTCCCCTAAAAAGAAACCAAACCAAGTAAGTCGATTTTTCAAATATTGTAACCAAACCAAACCAAGTAAGTCGATTTTTCAAATATTGGAACCAAACCAAACCAATTAAGTCGGTTTTTTATAGATTCGGTTTATGTCAATTGTTGTCGGTTTTTTCGTTTTTTTTTTTAATTATTTATCGTTTTTTTTAAATATGAGACATACACTACCAAACATATATTCCGGCGATTACATTTTTAATGTAACACTATCAAACCAATTGTTCTTTGAGAAATCTATCATTTACCAAGATATATTGATGATAATTGGATCAAATAGTGATGAATAATTTAAGGACTCAATTAAAAATAGATTATTTTTAACATTGAAATTGATTCTTGTACTTAGCAAAAGAAAACTACCAATCAAATAGAATGTAAAGGCAAGAAACTAAATTATTATAATAGCAAAGAACTAGATTAAAAGTGCAAATGATCAACATGTACTATAAATTTTTAAAAACTTTGTATACACACACACACATATAAATTTTAAAATTCAAAACCAAAACCAAACCAAACCATAAAAGTATTGGTTTTTTGTGTCGGTTTTGGTTTGGTTCGATTTTTCGTGTTTTTATGAACACCCCTAATTGACCTTGTTGGTGTATCTTGTGAATGCTTGTGACCATCTTGCTCTTTGTAAAGCACTTTTCAGACAGTTCCCTGTGGTGCAATGACTATTTATCTATTGTCCAATTCCATATAAGAGTAGATACTCAAGGTTTAGAGGTCTGTTTAAGTGGTTGCTATTTAACTTTGCTCTGCAGCTGATGCCACTGCTGCTGTCTCAGGGCTGCATTGTCTCCTAATATTTGCTTGTATTGCCTATACTTCCTCAGTTCCAATTTATATGACATTCTTTCTATTTTAAGATGTCCGAAAAGTTTGACCCTATTCCATTTCCAGCAAAATTCACAACTTTCAAGAATTTAAATTCATTAACTATTCACACATTAACCTGATTGTTTGCTCTATTTTCAACCACTACCTTAGTTCTCTTTCATCATCACTACTATGTTATAAAAGTCAAATTAACATCTTAAATTCTCTGTCCGGTCAAACTCGATCACATATAATGAAGTGGAGGGAGTACTTTTTTCTGCTTCATGGCCATTACTCACTTAAAGTTTGGGCTACTTGCCTTTTTAGTTTTATTCATCTGTGTCCAACTCTTTTAAGCTTGATGTTTGCAGACCATAACAAACTCAGTTCGTAGTCATTTTTGTTTTTTCCCCCTCATCTTTGCAGGACTTTTTTGAGCTGGATGAGGACATAAACTTTGATGAGTCTGCATCTCAAGTGGCTGAAGGGAGAGATAAGATGGGTACATCTGATGCTGAAAAGAAGTCTCTATCTACTGATGGAGCCCTGAACAAACCTGCAGCTTTTATTGAAACGAAGGCTACTCTGGGGATTTTGAACAAAAGAAATGATATGGAGGCTCCTGATGCTGCTGTTATCAGCGTCAATAACACCAGTTTCCTGCCCAGTGCCAATTCCCTGTCACCCGAGGTTGTCCCGCCATCATTTGGGTCTAACAAATTAAAAGAGCCAAGTGTTGATAAGGTCCCAGCAGTTCTATTTTCATCATCACCCCCACTCACAGGGTTAGGGCCAGAAAGCTCGAGCAGGTTAGTTCCTCCTTTGTTATATTCTTCAGATATATATTAATCCTGACCAGTTTTGTCACCTTATATTCTGCCATCCATTTGTGTCTACTGATAATGTTAGCAGCTATGCGAGTGCTTATTGTTGAACATACCTTGCTAAGGGTACCTGACTTATTTTTTTCTCCTACTTGTACTTTTTCATGTACATGTGTCAGTGCACAGATGCGGATTTTTTTACCTTTCTATGCATTTCCTCCAATGTTGTTTTCACATGATTCAAGGGATCGCTAATGGTTCTTTGTTCATGTTGTGTACTTTTTTGCTCTAAAAAGAAACAGGTATATATAAGACTATCTTCTTAAACTATGAAATATTAGAAGTTAAAGACAGTTATTAGCCAAACTGATGGCAGAAGAATAGGCCACATAATAATTAACCTTTAGAGAAAGGGTTAGGATTCTGAATTGTACTTACTCCCTCCGGTTCACAATAAGTGACCAATTTGCTTTTTCATTTTGGTTCAAAATAAGTGTCCAGTTGTGTAATCAAGAAAGAATTCAATTTGTTTTTACAAAATAACCCCTATGTACATATCCCTAAAAAGTTTTCTTACTCCTCACATTAAATGTATAATTAGGGGTCGTTTAGTCATAGTAGATATTTTTGTATAGAATTTGGTCTTTCTTAATGGGCGTGCTAAAAGCAAATTGGTCACTTATTGTGAACCGGAGGGAGTACTGATTTGTGGTGATCATAGCAAGTTTTCTAGCCCTGAATCGGTGATTCAAAAGAAAAAATTAAGAGATATTGTAACAAAAGGGAATGTGTACACTGATGTTCTGATTGCCGACTTTAACCATTGTTTGGTTGGAGCTAAAATAGTTGGAGTTGGAGAAGAGGGAGCAGAATTGAGGTGAAGGGGCTTTTCAATTTGCTTGATTTTGAAGTAAATGATAAAATCATAGGGATTTTGTAGTTTCAATGTATGCGTTTCTGGAGAAATACGAAGGTATTGAAATGAAATTATGCTCAATAATTGGTGACCAGTACATTTCCCTTTATTCCCCTTTAACTTATGAACACAATGGAGAAGAGACTATTTGTTTTCTCTATAATTCGTCCGTTCCGCACTCCCCCTATTTGAATTTGACTTGGTTAAATAGGCGATGGATGATGTACTCTTTTAGGACATTCTCCTGATGATGTCCATGAAAACTGAAGTATTTTATCGTATATGCTCAACTATGGATGAATAGTTATATCTTGCGTGAAAAGTGCCAACTTTTCAAATATCTTGATATTTTTTTTATTGGATACCCCTGAACAGATATCTGATATTTGATATTGGGTTTTGATGTATGCCCAAGTAGCTTGAGATTGAGTGTAATTGTTGTTCTGTATGGTACTTGTGGTCTGCCTGTTTATTATTCTGATTACATGTTTTTTCTGAAGCATGGAGGTCCTAGCTCTCTTGATGCAGACTCTGATAACGATCAGATGTGATAGTTATTTGTTCCCCCTACCCCGCACTAAAAAAAACTCATGCTATTTTTGTTATGTTCTTTTAACCTTCAAGTTGATAGGCACTCGGGATTCCAGGTATTTTGCACGATGTAAACATCTGAAGCTCTTCTGACTAACACTCGCACTATAATTTTTTTAATGTGATTGATGAAAACCTAGGGGAATAAAATGTTAGAGTTATTATTGTCAAGCCTGACCTCTAGTGTGAAAGGTTAATCACCTGTTAGAAGAAGCCTAGTAGTTGAATTTTATTTGCAAAGAGACTTTAAGCTGAGAACAGGACAATGAAGACTTTAAGTTGAGAACAGGATAATGAAGATTTTAAGAACGCCTAGCTTGCTGGAGAAAATCAAGTGAAAAAGGAAAGTTGGAGGTCCTTTGAGTTTTATGCACCCTTTCTTAAAACTACTTGAAAGCATGTAACAAGTTTCTTCACTTATCTACAGCTTATGCAACCCTCCTTTTGGCCTGGCTAGTGGTCCGTTGGAACTCTTTGAGTCAGATAACTCACAGAAGCATGGAAAGAGCAATGGAAAGTTAGAAGCTTTATCATCTGGTCTATCACCTTCAACTTCATTTGCTGCTCCATCAAGTACTTCTAGCTCCAGTAATGGACAGTTTGCACCTAGTCCTGCTATCTCAGCCACCTCCCTCTTGGCATCAAGCAATGTCCCAAAGGATGTTCAATCTGGTAGCTCACGCGAGGGTGCCCCTTCCACAAGCATTTCAACTGCTGTTGGCAGCACAGCAGGCAACTCCATTACCTCAGGTAGCTGCCTGTTTAGTTCCGCTGCAGCATCTTCAGTATCAACCGAACCTCCTATCAAATTTGGGCTGTCTGAAGGTCCACCAACAGTGTCGACGCTATCAACAACTTCCAGTGCAGACAATACAGATTTGAAAACCAAAGCAACTAATTTTGGCAACTTGAGTAGCACTTCACCTTTTGTGGGCTCATCATTTGCATCTACTAGTCCTGGAAATAATATTTTAGGTTTTAGTTCACCAGGAATGTCAACAGATAATACAGCTAATATCCAGTCTCAGAGTTCTGTTTTCAGCACTGGAGGTCAGTCGCTTGTTAGTGCTCGAACTTCTCTAGCTGGATCAGACAATGCCAGAGTCTCACAGACTGTTCCTTCTCATTTTTTATCATCTACTTCATCACCAGAAGTTAGAAACTCTGGAATGACATCTTTCTCCTCAGTTGGTTCTGCTTCCAGTAATACTGGCATAGTTTCTGCTGCTTCTTCAGATGGCAACCCAGCTGGCTCCAGCACTGCTGCATCTGGAAAATTTAGTATTGTGGCAAGTTCTCCAGCCTCATCTACATTGGGCAATTCAGTCGGTCCTAGCAGTGGGACCACTCAGCTGGCATTTACTTTTGGTGCTAGTCCTGCAGTTTCTGCAGCAGTAACCACTGCACTTGCCACTTCCAGCAATGCTACTTCTGGTGTATTTATGTTTGGTGTTAATTCTTCATCTTCCTCGACAAACGCCGCCGACACATCTACTCGTTCTAGTCCTGGCACATTTAATTTTGGTGGTAGTTCTTCAGCTTCCTTATTGAGCAATGTCAGCACGTCTAATGGCGCTACTCCTGGCGTATTTAGTTTTGGTGGTGGTTCTTCAGCTTCCTCAACAAATACTGTCAGCACCTCCACTGGCGCTACTCCTGGCGTATTTAGTTTTGGTGGTAGTTCTTCAGCTTCCTCAAATTCTGTCAGCACCTCCACTGGTGCTACTCCTGGCGTATTTAGTTTTGGTGGTAGTTCTTCAGCTTCCTCAGCAAATTCTGTCAGCACCTCCACTGGTGCTACTCCTGGCGTATTTAGTTTTGGTGGTAGTTCTTCAGCTTCCTCAGCAAATACTGTCAGCACCTCCACTGGTGCTACTCCTGGCGTATTTAGTTTTGGTGGTAGTTCTTCAGCTTCCTCAACAAATGCTGTCAGCACCTCCACTAGTGCTACCACAGGCATATTTGGTTTTGGTGGTAGTTCTTCAGCTTCCTTAACAGATGTCATCAAGGCCTCCATTACTGCTTCTCCTGGCGTATTTAGTTTCGGTGGTAGCTCTTCAGTTCCATCAACAAATGCCGTCAATGCTAGCAGCACAGTGAGTCCTAATCCATTTGCTTTTGGAGCCACTTCCGCCTCTTCACAAACTTCCAGTAGTGCTGGAATTTTTGGTTCCAGTTTACAGCCCCCAAAGCTTCAACCAGGTTTTAGTTTTAGTTCTAGCACCTCTTCTGGGTTTACATTTGGAGCATCTTCGTCTTTTAATGCTCCAAGCACTACTGCGGTAGTCTTTGGATCGGCACCCAGTACCCCTAGTGCACCAGCCTTTCCATTTGGTTCAACTTCTCCGACAGTATCATCTTCGCAGCCCATATTTGGGAACTCCACTCCTTTTACTGCGGCCCCCGTGAACAATGGACAGATGAGCATGGAAGACAGCATGGCTGAGGATCCTGCACAGGCATCTCCCCCTGCAATTTCATTTGGTCAACCTTCTGTCTCGCCCTCTCCAGGTGGTTTCATGTTTGGTTCAACGCCTAGTCCTTTCCAGTTTGGTGGTCAGCAGAGTAATGCTGCTGCTCAGAATCCATCTCCATTTGCAGCATCAAACAGTTTTGGTGCTGGAGGGAGTTTCTCATTGGGAAGCAGTGGCCCCGACAAATCAGGTCGAAGGATCGTCAAACCTAATAGAAATAAGAATAGAAGGAAGTAAAATGTTGCGCAACAAGACATTGATCCTCATAGTAGATATTGGTTGGCAAGAGGATTTTTTGATGACAGATCGGCAGCCACAGGTTGTGGGTTTGTGCAATTTTCCTTTTTTTTTTTTTTGGGAATCTGGGGCACTGTATGTGTCTCCAGGAAGTGAAAATCTTGTAATTCCTATCTGCTTTTCCGTTGTTGGCCCAAATTCTATGACATAAAATATCACAATTTTGGATAACATTTTTAGTGAAGTGGTTGTATTGTATGGGGGTTGGGGTTGGGGGTGGGTTGTTGAAGAGGGCCTAGTTAGCCATTTTTCTTTCTCTATAATCGATTTCTGTATTTCTACATGTAACATGACAAAGAAATGTATGCTTCTGTAATGAAAGGTGTCTCTATCGGGGACTTATTTCAAGAAGATAAACATCAATATTGAATAAAGTTTTTTAAGCATTGTTGCCGTTTGTTTAGTTTCCATTTCAACCCTAAACGTTCATATTTTCTTTTGGGCGGGGAATTGTTTTTTTCTTTCCCATGAGCTGTTTGGATTGAATGCAATTCAAGAGTCAATTTGATTTGTAAGTTAAATAAGTCTCACTTATAAGTATAGCTAAAAAAATATATATATACAATCTAATCCCTCCAAGTATATCTCCTAAACAGTAGGAATAATACAAAAAATGTTAGCAAAATCTCTCTACAAAAATGACATGCACGAGTCGAGAAGTGGATATAGCTAACAATTTGACACGGTTGATGAGCCTTTTCTTTTGTATGGTATATGGAAGTGAGAAATAACTATTAGGTCTTGGTAATATTAGCATAATGTAGCACCCAATGGTGTAATCTCACGGTCAATAAAGCGAGATGAAAACTATAGAAGATTGGGTTAAAGTTTCAAGAGAGGTAAAAACAACTGATATTTTTTTCATTTGTCTAAGTCTTGGTGCATAGAACCCGACCAGTACCACTAATTGTGAAAAATAGTAAATACCCGATAAAATAATTGCAAGTTAACCCTAGCACCACTATTTAAAAAAAAATATGGCAGCATTGTTGCATCATTTGGCATGCAACATTTGGTTCAATTGAAAACTAACTACCAGATCATTTATTTAGATTACTTGTTAAGGAAAGCACAGCGTATTTGGAAATAGAAGTTATCCGATCCTTAAACCAAAAATTAAGAAACCAACATTCTTGCATCTATAATAGCAACTAATGGATTAAGAATATCTTGGCAGTTAGCACTAGGCATATATACTCGACCTTTTATATATATATATATATATATACACTAAATTAAGGAGCTGCCATGCCATGAAGCAAGAGTATATTTATACATATACTAAGTTGCTTTCCAAAAAAATTGGAGCTGAAAAAACAAAAATACTGAATATATTAATAAAATGCTACCATTAGAGTTGTGCAACATGCAACTAATGTTGATCCAGGGGAAGTGCACGGTTAGCCACTAATAACACATGTATTTACTTTTAAGCTAATGTTTAAAATGTCTTTAGTCTTTAGCCACCGCTTTAATAAACTTTAACTGCCTGGACGAAAATACCCTTCTGCTCATGTCCTTAACTTTTGAACTTAACTTCAGGACTTCAGGACTACATATCCTTAACTTTTGAACTTGGAACTCAAACTTCAGGACCAAGCGTCCTTAGCTTTTGAACTTGTAAGTCAAAGTTAAGGACCTATTGTCCTTAACTTTTGATCTTGTAACTGTAAGTTAAGGACTGCCTGTCCTTAACTTTTGAACTTATTAGTCTAAGTTCAGGGCCAAGTGTCCTTAACTTTTGAACTTGTAAGTCTAAGTTCATGACCAAATGTCCTTAACTTTTGAACTTGAAATTCAAAGTTAAGGACTAAGTGTCCTTAACTTTTGAAACTTGTAAGTCAAAGTTCAGGAGCAAGTGTCCTTAACTTTTGAACTTGGAACTCAAAGTTAAGGACCAAGTATCCTTTTTGAACTTGAAACTTGAAGTTCAGGACCAAGTGTCCTTAACTTTTTAACTTGTAACTCAAAGTTAAGGACCAAGTGTCCTTAACTTTTGAACTTGGAATTCAAAGTTAAGGACCTATTATCCTTAACTTTGAACTTAGAACTCAAACTTCAGGACCTATTGTCCTTAACTTTTGAACTTATAACTGTAAGTTTAGGACCTATAGTCCTTAACTTTTGAGCTTGTTAGTCTAAGTTCAGACCAAGTGTCCTTAACTTTTGAACTTGTAACTCTAAGTTAAGGACTGCATGTCCTTAATTTCTATGCTTATAACTCTAAGTTAAGGACCAAATGTCCTTAATTTTAGAACTTCCAACTCTAAGTTCAGGACCCACATAAAAAAAAAAAAGAGAATTTGATTCATTGAAATATGAAAACTCAATTGGTATTCTGGCAACTAATCTTCCACTTCAAAAAAACAGCGTAAGACCATTAATTCACTCTACAAAGTGTCTTCAAAACCTCTTTCAACAAATACCCCATTTGCACTAATTTTGTTTGTGAATATCTCAAACAGAGAAAAGAGAAATACTTGTTTGTGTTTTCCTTTTCCTTTTCTTGTATTTTTCAGCTAAAAATTATAGATTAAATGAACTAACTTCCTCTGCAAGAGCCACGCCCAGCTTGTTTAGTTCTTAATCAAGAAACCAGAGCCAATGTATTCAATGCAGAATGAGAAGCGAGGGTTTGAGAAGAAAAACAATGGAAGAAAGGGTAAAAATGTCTTTTCATATTAATTTTAATAGAGTAGTGGCTATTTTTGCTCAACATTAGAATTGCTGGATAAAAAATAAATAACACCTTAAATAGTGGCTACCACATGCCATTTTTACGTTGATCTACGAGGGAATATAATCATTTAATGAAAACAGACTAATTTAAGTATCAATCACCTAATTCCCCTTTGCTTCTAATGCAACTGCTAGCGTGTTTGGTCAAGCTTTCAAAATCTGCTTATTTTAGAAAGTGCTATTTATGAAAAATGCATTCGAAGAGTAACAGTTTGTATTTGATTAATCAATTTAAAAAACAGAGGGGCAATTTGTGCTTCACTAAAGTTCAAAAAGTACTTGTGGAAAAAAAATTATTATTTTCAACTTGAAACAGCTTCTACTACTAATCAGCACATGATATTCTCTAAAAATTTGGCCAAAATACCTCAACTCTCTGAAATAAGCACTTTAAAAGAAAAAACTTTAATTTTGCCTTAAATCATTTTATCTTCTGTTTCTGTCAGCAAAATTGTGTTGCCTCCTTTTTTTAATTCTCATCAATGGCGAGTGATACGAAAGGAAAAAAAAGGGACAGCTACTAGCGAGAAGACCAACCAATATTTCCAATTACAGCTTGTTTGGATTGTGTTACATATCGTTTCATAATGTCCGTATTATATTATATTTTTTGATGAATATAACGTTTGGCTTAGTTTGTATCGTTTGCTATCGTTTTATGATGTCATGTACCAACAATATGAAGAATAAATATGCAACATTATTAAGAAAAAATAGGATACGGAGTAGAGTTATTATACAAAAAATAGGGTAAATGATAAAATATAATTATCTATTAATAAGGAAGGGCAAGATGAGAGAAAAAAGTAAGGAAACGACGTCACCACACCAAATCCGTCGTTTTATAAAGTGACACTTTTCGTCGTTACGGAACGATAGACTTAACGATACGATACAATAAAATTTAAGTAACAATCAAAACAAACATTGTATTTAAAGTAACAATACGATAATATACAACAGATAACAACCATCCAAACAAGCTGTTAACGAATCATATTCAAGAATCTTTAAATGATACAGTAACTTGAATTAAAGATCTCTTGTCGATTGAGACTTTCAAAAATAAATCATACTCCCTCTATTCCCTTTTAGTGGCCAGGAAAAGGTTTTACACGTCCAGTAAGAAAAAATTAAATCGGAGATAATTTAACTAATTTATCCCTTATTAATTCTTTAATCTTTGTTTATATACATGTCTCTTAATTCTAGAACAATTAATTCAAAGTCTGATGTTGGAAAAAATTAATTAATTCTCTCTTGGTTTTCTAAAATGATAAGTATTTAGGAACAACTATTTTTAGTATACATGACAACTAAATAACGGAGAATACATTATTCATACCCCAATGTTAGCAAAACAATAAAAAAAGAAATTTATTAAGAAAGTCTCAATTTTATTTGGCAACCTCCTTACCCTCATGCCAGCTCAGCAGCTCTAAGCCATCCACGTGATTGAGTGTATGGCTATATTGCATATGATTGTATCAATCCTTGATAAGTAATTGTGTAAACTAAACCAAGAAATATTTATAAAATTCATAAAATTTCAGTTAATATTGTAATAAAGTTAGTAAAACTATATTTACCGACCTACAGCATCTGATAGGTCTGTCTTCTAACATTACCAATATTTCGAGTTTTCATAAATTTCACATAACATAAAACCTCTTGCATTGCATCCATAACAAAACTAAAAAAGAATTAAAAAAAAAAAAGAATACTCTTGTGACTCGGGATGAACCTTTATATCTTAAATAACTTTATAACACAAAAAACTAAAACTAGTAAAAAAAAAACCATCCTGCTATCACAGATTAAAGTACACTACACTGATAGTAGCAGGGGCGAAGCTATGTTGGCCCTTCGCCGAAAAACTATACTATGTATAAGGTAAAATATTACTTGTTATTGATTAAAAAATAAACTTTGAACACTTTTACATAGCCCACTGGCAAAGGGTGTTCAAAATTTGAACACCCTTATTAAATTTCCTGGCTTCGCCACTGGATAGTACAAAATATATTGACACTGTTAAATCCATCAAAACAATTAAGTAACCTAACATGTACATTAATGTGGATCATTTACACACAAGAAAAGGAAAAGAAACAAACAAAAAGATGAAGACAAGACAAAAATCAGAGTAAAGAAACCATATATGGTGGTGGACTCAGCTTTGCCTTATTGCCAATGGAACAACTTCAGCCAAAGGAGATGGAAAAGGAGAACTTCTACAATTTGGACAAGTGGGATGAAGCCTTAACCAAGGGTCAATACACTTGACATGAAAAATATGGTGACAATCAGGCAATAACTTAAGTTTATCATTGTCTTTATAATCTGCCAAACAAATTGAACATCCTGAAGAAGAAACTAAGTCCTTTTTATGAGCTTTGGCTTGTGAATAAAGTAACTTTGGATAGCTTTTTAATGTATCTTCAT